TTTGTACCGGGGATTGAACTCGGGTTCTTGCACTTGCAAGGCAGGCCACCGAACCGCTGAGCTAAATCCCCAGTCCTTAATTATATTTTAAATATAGTTGTTTCTTTAAAAGTTATATGGTAGTCTAATTTTATATTAAATTTCCCAGAAAATTTTTTGTGATTTTCCTGTGTCTTCTAGTCTTAATAATTGTGAAAGACCATTTCATGTCTTCTTTTTTTTTTTTTTTTTTTTTTCTTTTTTGTATGTGGGATCACACTCTGGTCCTTGTGCTTGTGAGGCAGGTGGCAGCACCACTGAGCTACATCCCCAGCTTAGTAGTTCTATTTGTATGGAAAAATTTTTCCAAGGATAGAGACTAATTTATAAAATACGTCCTAACTCTGGTTTGTGAAAATATGTTTATTCTTATGAACTAAAATATTTCCTTCACTTTTAAAAAAGAAACCATCTTTTTACTTCATCTTATGATTATTGAGTGCTTTATCTTCCTCAGAATTTTCTGTGAATTTTAAGTAAAAAAAATTTAACTTTTGTTACAGTAACTTTGCAAACTTCTGTCATAGTCCTTGTCTGCGGTAATAAGTAAGTAAATACTGGGAAAATAAAAATATGCTTAGCACAACTTGCATCATCAATATTCATATGAAAGAGGAAAATTTGAGTATTGATTTTTTTTCTTCCTCCTTTTGCATTAAAGGTACAGAAAGAAGAATGCACAGTGAAAATAACAGTGTTCTAACATTTAGTGGATATATTGTAGTCATGTTTCTTTGGCTGCAGTGATACGCAAAATTTGAATTACAGGATACAGTGATTTGATGAAGTACTTTGATACTATAAAAGGGTCGTGCGTCTTTGTAGAAAACTAGCATATTATTTTTTAATACAAGATAACCATGAGCCTATTAAATTACCTATCATTTCTTAAAAAGAGTACATTAGTCCTCCCTTATTCTTGGTTTTACTTTCTGTCATTTCAGATAACTGAGGTCAAGTGCAATTCTGAAAATATTAAATGAAAATTTCAGAAATAAACGATTCATGAAATTTTAACTTGACCACCATTCTGAGCATAACAATATGTAGCCCAGGTTGGGAATTATCCCGTAGGACTGGATATCTACATCTTACATTCTGTCACCCATTAGTCCTGTAACCCTTTGGGTTGACTGTTACCAGAATCACAGTGCTTGTGTTCAAGTAACCCCCATTTAATAATGGCCATAAGTGCAAACTTTTATAATATTATGTGGTTATAATTATTCTATTTTGTTATTTATTTTGTCAATCTTTGTGTCTCATTTTTAAATCAATATAAATAAAAATTTATCATAGGCAGACATATGTAAAAAAATACAATACAATACAGGGTTTGGTGCCTTCTATAGTTTCAGACATCCACTACTAGTCTTGGAATATATATTGCTTGAGAAAGGGAGTACTGTGGCAAAGGTAGAAACAAGAGCACCAAGGAACAAAATGATTTTCCTTCATGTATTGTAAAAGGTAAAGATGTCAAGAACCGTGTGTTTATGAAATTACAAAGCTCATTCCTAATTGGCTGCAGTTTTTTTTTTTTGATAATTTATTCCAAAATAATAAATGAGAATTCCACTCACAAGAAAAGCCATTTTGTCTTTGTTCAAACTGTTCTGGTAAGTTTGCTAGGTGGCAGCATATGCTCAATAATAGTTAAGTTAGGTAATTACTAAGCATTCTACATGTTTTAAATTTTTGCTCACGAGAAATAAGATTTGTAATTCAGCCATAAGTTATCTAAATGACTAAATTAGGATCCTTTTTATAAAGCTATTTTGTTGACTGTGAAATACTTCAAACACATGGAAAGTAATATAACAAATGTGCTTGTAATCTACTTCCTATGTTTAGCAGTTACCAATGTTTTATCATATTTTTATTCCAGTCACCTTTCTTTCCACCTCGGGATTTGTTATTATATTCTGGTGTGTTTTCTCATCAGTAGGTTTCATAATTTTGGAACATATGTGTCTACACCTGTAGCACAATATTTTGTGTATTTTAAAATTTTGAGTGTGGTATTATATTGTTTAATCTAATATACATAGTATTTTGTAACTTTTTCATCAAACATTTTAGGATTTATCCATGGCAATACATGCAGATCTCCTGGATTTATTTATTTATTTAAAATTCTACATTCTCCACTTATGTAAAGTACTACATTTTATATGCTTTATATACAATAAGAAATTATTTGCATAATTTATTGTTGGGTGTATATCTTCTAAATAGATTCCTAGAAGTAGGATTTTTGCTGAGTGTTGCCAGATTTTCCTCCTGAAAGAGTACACAATTTGCATTTCTGCCAGCAAGTAAACACTGAGGGTGCTTTTTTCCTCACAATTGTAGGATCAGAGCATATTGTCATATTTTTTATTGTCATATAGGTCTGTGGTGGTGAACCTAAGGCACATGCCATAGCAGGCTGTTTGTGTTGTTGAAAGCTTTAAAAGTTTTGCCATCACTGTTAAAATTGAATGAATAATCAGAATTTCTAATATATTCCGAGAGACACATGTATACACAGATTTTCCTGATGGCCATGAGTTTTTGTTACAGGTTAACCCAAGTACATATTGAAGTCAATGTATCACCAACAGCTTGTTAATCGACTGGCTAGCAGCTAACCAGGCAAGAGTCAGTTCAGAGGACTTAATTTTGTGTGTGGTTCAGAGTCAGTTGTCAGCTTTGTATATCAGAAATTTGCTGTGATTATCACCCAGAATAGCTCATTCTCTCAAAAGCATATTTCCATTAACATAAACTTATAATCATATTGTAAAACACATTGTTTTCCTGTGTGCTGATCATCATCAGCTGCTCTGAAATTGGATTTCGCGCATGACTCATTGTTGGGCTATGATGCATTGTTCCACAGAATTTAGTTTTCTTAGGATAGATTAGATTTTTCAAATCTTAGAGCTAGAGAACTCTTTCTTAGGAATTTGTCCGAGTTGGATACTGCCTGCTTTTGCTTATTTGTAATTTTCATTCCTGTGTCTGAGTTGACTCTTTTTAATCTGTTCATGTGATCATTTTCTGGCAGGTGTGTTATTAGGTTTTCCCTTTATTTGTGATCATGCTTTGGTATTGTTTAACCCAGAAATAATCCAGGTTTCCCTGACTGTATTCAGAGTTTACCAGGTTATCTCTGTGCGTAGACTGTTGACATCTTCCTCTCAGCACCTACAGTCTTTGGTATAGTTTTGAGTTTTTCTCTTTTGATCTCATAAAATGCATCCCTTTCCTGTTTGGAATCCCTCAATTAAGTTTATCGGTCTTAGTTATGATCATGTAAAGATTTTTCCTTTAATTTCTGTTTTCAAACTATTTCTTTCCACTTTTCTTTCATTTTGTTCCTTCTCTGTCAGTTATTATGCCTGTTTTCTCCTTGCTCGTTTTATTTCTCTTTTCTTCCCAAATAATATTTTACTCTTTCGGTAGTTCTAACGATGATAGTTATGATTGGTTGGGAAATGTGCCAAAGTGTATTGATTCTACACTGCCTTAGCCTTCTGGTAATATTGCGTATTTGGGACCTGTCTGTTGCCTTCTGGGTTATCTGTCAACCAACTTCATAATTCCTGGGCGACAAATGAGTCACAACATTTAAACTCTAACTAAAAAGTTACTAGTCATCAGTTTTGGGGAAAAAAAAAAAACTGAAGGGAGCAGTTCTGAGAAAAAAATGTTCGGTTCCACTTTTAGGTGAAGTGAATGTACTTCTTCATACACTAAATTTTTCAAAATTTTCTACTGCATCTATACAAATGCTGAGAAAGTTAAACTAGAAAAGCATTTCTTGGTATTGTATAAAACTAAGTTTATGAAGGATTCTTTTAGCATTTAGAATTTTCTTATGCAGTTATGGCAAACACAATACTTCTGATACTGAAAATTTAGAATTGGAACCTAATCTTTTCTGTACTTAGAATGTAACCAAGGACTCACTCTGCCTAGTGCAGTTTATCAGTTTTGTTTTTAGTAGTTAGAAATGGTATATTGTAATCTATTGCACCTGCAAAGTTCAACAGTTAGAAACACATTACCCTATTTTAATGCATAATCTAACACTTATTTATGCTGTGAATTAACTTATAAGTGTATTTTTTTTCTTCATTGAATTTATTGGTACATTTTAGGTATACAGTACAGTTACATTCATTATTGGGATCTTCTACCTTTACATGACAGATCTTGGTTCTCATTTTTCCCCTTGTCCCTGCCCTCCCTTCACCCCCTCTTCTCCTCCCCATTTACAAACATTTTATTTCCATTTTTTCTTTTTCTTCTATTTTTTTTTTCCTTTTCCTTATTACCTTTCCCCTACCCTCCTACTTTCCCTACACCTTTAACCCTTTTCTTCCTATTTCACATTGTCAATTATTTCATTAGGATCTTATTTACTATTATAGTTTATTCACACCAGAGAAACTATTTGGTATTTACACATGTGTAACTTATTTATTTCACTTGGGAGTGTATTCTCAGTATGTATCCAGTTTCCTATGAATGAATCTAATTTGTAGGAAACTGGAACCTTGAATCCATAGTTAAGTGTAATAAATCAGACAAGCATTAAGTATTGTATGGTTTCTCATATATGAGAAATTAAAAGTATAAACAAAATGAAAGATAATAGGAAATAGGGAGCTAGATCTTTTGCAAAAGGGGTGGAAACCAAAAGTTGGAGGGCAGGGGAAGAGAAGGAGATTGAAAAAAAGAATTAAGATATGTAATGTACATGTACCAACTCCCCACAAAAAATCTAATCATTGTATATTAAATATATACTAATAAAAAATTTAAAACTGAAAAAAAGAAAATGACAGTGTTAGCCATAGTCAGGATCAATGAATGTTAAGCTAACAGAAAGATTGAACTTACCTATACAAGGGAAGGTTAAATGTAAAGGTTTTGTAATAAATGAGCATAATGAGAACAGTGCCATTCTAAAAGAAAGAAGACTACTGAGGAGAATTAAAGATGTGACATTATATCTCTCTGTTAGAAAGTTTTAGTCTGGGTACATTGTGGATAATTGGGGAGGGGCAAGAATGGGTATATAGAAACCAGTTGACAGTATCTAAACTAAAAATACTGAAAAGGCATATTGTACAATTTGAAAGACAGGAGATAAAATTAACAAGACAGTGAGGGATTTAAGGAAAACCTGTAACCCTAATTTTATTATTAATTTCAAATTTCTAAAATATGAAACAAAAAACAAAAAGATACAGAATAAACAACATGAGTTCAAGTGTAAATTTGTGATGATTTTTTTTTTACTTTCTGTGTACGTGTGTATGTGTATATATTTGCAATCCAGAATGGTAACCTTTGTTTTGGGAGATTGATATATGTATATAACGTATCTTGATCATTTTCCATCCCTTTATACCTGTCATGCTTTCCCTCCTCTTGCTCTCCTTACCTATCTCTAAAAACTGCCTTGAGGTAATTTTGAGCATACTCAAGAAATATCAAGCAACCACTTTCACATTTATGCCTGGAGTTACGTGGAGAAATTTGAGTTAAAGGTAAAAAAAAAAAATTGAGTCATCTTTGTTTAGGTGGTCGGTTAAACCAAAATGTACACATAAGATCACTGAAGATTAAAAAGTATATTGTGAGGCGGGGGATTTAGTTCAATGGCACCATGCCTGCCTTGCAGTACAAGGTCCCAAGTCTCTGGTACCAGTATACACACACACACACACACACACACACACACACACACACACACATTGTTGAAATATTATATATTATGTATATATATATATCATTGTGACTACACTGTAGAACATTTGTGTTAATGGTTTTAGAAGTGGAATAGTTTGATGACATCGAAATGAATAAATGAGTAACTGACTTTTAAGTCATTTGAAAAGAAAAAAGTCGAAAAGTAAGGACATAATATCAGGCACATTATTCAGATGAACATTTAAGCCACCTAAAATGATGGAAAGACAAGATGAAAAAATTTCAAGTTGGTTGATAATATCTTCGGTGAAAAGGAGTTGGCCAGGGATGGGGATAGCATTAATGGAAGAGTAAGAGAAGGTGTTACGGCCAAATTCAGAAGCCCTGAAGAGACAGAATTATGTTGATACTGTCATTGTGGCAAAAAGAATTTGAGGGATTGTGTGCCAAGAGCAGTGTTTCAATACTATGTTGCAAGGCTTGTGACAACTCTTAAGAGCTTACAGTCTACTGAAAAAGACATTAACAGTTTGTATGATGACATAGATGCTTAAAAATAGAACCTACAAAATATAGTGAGGAACCTAGGGATGGAGTCGCCATTTATAAATGAAGAAACATTGATAATTTCACGGGAAAAACTGTGTGGCACCTGAGTTTTATGTACTTCTTAAGATCCAAAAGGGGGAAAGGACATTCCAGGTGGAATTATACGATGTATTACTCCGAGCTATGATAGATAAACCATTAACTCGGTACATTGTACTCTATCTCTCTATATATATCTATATGGCTCTTTGTGGTTAGAATTGTTTCATGTCTTCTCCTGTCCTTCAGGTTTTTGTTCTTAAGAGTAACTGTTCTCCAATGGGATGATACAAAGGTTGTATCTATGTAGGCATGTGCTCATGCATTCATAATACGCATTTGTTTGTGGAGTTTCTTTTAAAATTATGCTTAAAATAATTTATTACTAATAGTAATCAAGGAGTGCTTTATAAGTAAATAAAATGAAGTCACTTTTATCCATTTGCTTTTGTTAATTCATATGTTTAATAATTCCTGTCATATGTGATCTCAGGGAGCTTATAGTTTATGTTATGTTCTGAGCCCCACAAATTAATACTAAAATACTAATTGTTAAGAATGTCATGGCTTATTTTTTACCAAAAATGTTTCTAAAAAAAATCATAACTTGTTCTTTTAAGCTCTCAGACACATTTTTAGATTGTTGATTTATTCCTTTACTGTTTATGGAAGAACTTTGATTTCCTCAAACTAGGAATGTGGTAGATAAACAAAAATTTGGTTAAAGTAGTAGACCAAGTATATAATGTCAAAACTCAAAGTTAATTGTGTTTGATTTTGAGTTGTGTCTTTAATTTTGGCTTTCTTCCCTAAAGGTTGTGAAGATGAGAAAAGAAGTAAAGAGAATACGAGTTTTGGTCATCAGAAAACTTGTCAGGAGTGTCAGCAGGCTGAAATCAAAAAAGTCAGTTGCTTAAAGTAATCATCCTGTGACTAATAAAATGTCAAGAAATGTTTTTACTTAAAAATATTCAAAATTTGAGGGTGGGATGTAAAGAAATAATTGTCTTGTTTAGTACTTTGTTATATACATAGAGATGATGTGAGGGATACAGAATGTGCTGTGTCAGCATGTCCTTATATGGTGTGGACTGTCTTTGCCTAAGACACAAGATGAATACTCCTATTTTTTTTAACTCTATTTAGATTTTTCAGAATACGTTAAGATGATAACAACAATTTTAAGTCAAGTAATACCTTGAGTCAGTTGTGAGGATTTTGTATAATTTTTTCTTGATTACTAAGTTATTTTAAACCTTTGCTGCCCAGTTTATTGTATACCATGGCATTTTTAAAAGAGTATTTTATATTTTCAGCATTAACAGTGTAAGTAAAAAAGTACTTAAAATTCTTGTGATTTAAGCCTGAATATTTACAAAGCCTTACATGTGTTTGTTTCTGGTTAATTTGCTTTTCTAATAAATATTCGAGAAATCGCTCTCTTCCCTAATCAGATATTTAATGCTGTAATTCAAGAGAACAAGTTTTCATTTAATAAACTTACATGCAATCCTTATAGATTTTGAAGCATATATTAATATATATTATATATTATATATTCCAGTGCATGCTTCTGAGATCCTTTTGATGATTACACGAAGAATGGATTGCAAGGAGTAATGAGTAAATGTCAAGATTTGAAATAATAAACTCTTTCACTGCCTTAGGATATGAATGATCGCTGGACCAAGTGCTACAATAGTGGAACAGAACAGAGAAGAAATCACCATGTTTTCA